GATAAACTCTGAATGCAGCTCCTCTAATTTCAAATCAATTTCATCGTTCATTCATAAAATATGATCTCGCAGAAAGAGCTTTTTCATTACCTCCTCATCACACACACATCCAACATTTATTACCCCCCGATCAAACATTCATTACCTGCTGCATTTAAAAAAGTAAGTACACAACTTACTCACTGTCAACACCGTCTGCACCTTCATTAGTGCTGTAGTTACAGCTAGGTTTATCAATCCATGAAAACAACCTTAAGATGTATAAAGATATCAAAAAAGTATACACATTTAAACAAACTGAAAGGAACTGGTTAAAAGATGATGAACCTAATAAAATGTAACAATCTTGTAAATCAAATAAACGACTTTTTCATGAGAATTAAAAAATTAAGAATGTTCATATCTTTGATGAAAGATTCGAAGTATACGACAGAACTGTCTGCTCTGATTGGTTAGCTGACCGGCTCTGTTGTGATTGGGCAACTGCTAAGAGATGTCCCCTTAGCCTATCACGTACAATGTGTTGGAGCGCTAGCTAATAGGAGCGCTAGCTAATAGGAGCGCTAGTGTTACGTAGCGATGTTCCTGAATGTAGCCTTTGTAGACCATTTACATTCACAAAAACCTACTCAATAGGGTAAAGAGAAAACCCCACAAAGCAGAATAGGACCTCTTTAAACATTTTAACAGCTTAAAATAATCTGATGATTGATTTAGAAAACAGCCACTATTACAGCTCAGAAAAGGATGGCTCCCACTGAATATACAAATTACTCGCATTCCCACCAAATGAACATTGTTAAAATATTCAGATCAGTTTAAAATGTCTAGTCAGATTAATCCCTGATGGACTTCAATGCATTTATTTAAGACTTGTACTGTAGAAAAGAGTAAAAACAGCTCTTTATTTTATGTCTGCAGCCGCACGTATTTAGGTTTGTTTACAAATATATGTATTTTTTTAAATTCTGAACATTTCTATTCTATATTTATTCTGTGCAGATGTCGAGCTGAAGCTGAGAGAAATTCATCGTGCTATTTTTTTATTTGTTTGCGTTATGCACAAGTCTATTGACTGACTTTCATAAAAATCTAAATCTACATGTCTTAAATCATATATTCGATGAGTTTATTGTCATGAAAGCTACCGTGTCGATTTGGCATTGAACATCTTCAAGGCTCCTACAACAATGCAACTTGCAATATACTTAAAGGGGACCTATCATGCAAAATGCACTTTTTGATGTCTTTTATACATAAATATGTGTCCCCGGTGTGTCGGGGAACTCACGCAGCGTCAGAAAATAAAACCCTCTCTCTTTTCCTCCGTACCCAAATCTCTAAAAACGGGGCTACAACGGAGCTGATCCAGATTTGCGTCCGATATGACGTAATATCTGAAATGTGGACCCACGGCACTATCAGAAACGTTGCTATCAGAAACAATGCCCGACTGTTTTGGACGTAATATGGTCGGTGTTTACATTAGCATCGCTAACACTCAGAGCTAACCTGTACTGGAGAGCATGTGTGTGAAGAAGCAGGAAATAAAAAGGAACTCACCTTGTGGTATAACCGGCAAGAGAGAAAGCCTTTGAGCTCCATACTGTTTCAGAAATAATCCTTGATAATCCATGATATGGCGTTTCATCACGGCAGTATTTAGTTTAGACAGTAGCTGCCGGGTCCCACATGAGCTCAGACCCCTCCTTTTTAAAAAAATAGCTTTATACCCCAAATCAGCACTTTTGAAACAGGAAGTGAAATAGAGGGATATGAGGCATGGCTAGAATGGGTGATCTGTTTGGTATTTTGAGCAAAACACTTCATAGACATGTTTTTTATATATTTTTATATATCTGAGACCTATGCTATTGCCTACAAATGCACCTTAAGACATAACAACTGGTGAAAACAGTAAAGGGAGAAACAGAAATAAAACGAGAAAGTGGAGCTCACGGTTAGATAACACCACGTTAGATAACGGCAGCAAATCTTTAAAAAAAAATGCCTGTTGGCTTCTTTCAGCTGACATTAACTTCTGCAAACAGGAAAACAAACACAACTCCTGATGAAGACTCACTCTGATGGGAACTCTTCTTCCTCCTTTATTTCTTCATGCACCTTGCAGCTTAAAGACAAGCTGTGCAGAGGAGTCAAATAAAACAAAAATAATAATATCTCGCGGTGAGTAACATCGCCCCCGTCAGAAGATGCATGACCTCAAAACGATCTGAACACAACTTAAAAGAGCTTCTTCACAAAGTTTCACACACGTCAAAACAGACGTGTGCAGCCTTATAGCCAAACATGAATCAATAATCTCATTTCACCAGCAGCAGATTGCACTTTCTCCCAAACAGGCAGAAAAACAGCTACCAGACTCTGCCTTCAAGTCAAATGTGTCTTTAAAGTCTTTAATGGCAGAAGGTAAATGATGGCAGCTCCTAGATAACGATGTCTTGTCTCAGCGGACTGACATTATGATGAAGATGTAGGGCTGTGCAATTAATTGTATTTTAATCGCAATTACGATTTTGGCCTGCCACAATTACGAAAACAACATAATCGAAAAAAAACGATTATTTTGCTTTGCTAGGTTGTGACAGTGCACTGCAACATATTTGATCAAATGTATTTGTATTTATCATATTTATATATGTTTAGTAGCTTGTTGAAGTGCGCTCCAAAATATGTGTTGATCTTGTTTATTGGTATTTATTATTTTGATATTATTTATTTAAATGTATCATTTATTTTATTTATTTTTGTATTGGTTTTTCAGTTGAATTATACGTTCAGGCTGTGTGTGTTTTGAGTTTTGAGTGTAATATGAAAGCATGGCTGTGGGATAAAGAGTCTTTAGGGGTACATGGTGTTTAAGAAAAGAGAGGTAGGGGTATAAAGGTGGCAGTGCCTTTGAGAAAAGTACAATTTAAGGTAAAGAAAGTGGGCAAAGAAGAGGGAAAATGTACATTTACTGTACACATGCAATGCAGCCTTGAAATGAGACAATACCAAGAGGAAATGCATGTAAGAACACACATTTTCTGACAGGTACAAAGTCAGTTTAATGCAGGTTTGAGACACTCTGATTTCTATCGTCAAACTGCTTTATTTGTACTCCTTTAAATCAGAGAGGAGAAGGAGACGCTAAGAACCTCCTGAACCATCAACACTGAAGGAATCCTAACCAGGAGAAGACTACAACTCCCATGATGCCACACTGCTTCACCATCACACCAAGCTACAGCTTTTTTGGATTATTGCAGAAAATATGTGTCAAACAAACAATTATACATACTAAGGATGTTGATTGCATGACATGTGGAAAAGTGTTTTTTAGATTGTGTTACTGTATAATTAAACATGTAAATAATACACTCTAAATACTTCTTCCACTACTGGATATGTGTGTGAGAGGAAACTACAAACAATCTGATTCTGCAGACATTTTCTGAATTTCATAAAAGAAAACGGGGGGAGACAGCAACGACTAACAGCAACAACTAACAGCAACGACTAACAGCGAAGACTAACAGCAACGACTAACAGCAAAGACTAACAGCAACGACTAACAGCAACAACTAACAGCAACGACTAACAGCGAAGACTAACAGCAACGACTAACAGCGAAGACTAACAGCGAAGACTAACAGCAAAGACTAACAGCAACGACTAACAGCAACGACTAACAGCAACGACTAACAGCGAAGACTAACAGCAACGACTAACAGCAACGACTAACAGCGAAGACTAACAGCAACGACTAACAGCAACGACTAACAGCAACGACTAACAGCGAAGACTAACAGCAACGACTAACAGCAAAGACTAACAGCAACGACTAACAGCAACGACTAACAGCAACGACTAACAGCAACAACTAACAGCAAAGACTAACAGCAACGACTAACAGCAACGACTAACAGCGAAGACTAACAGCAACGACTAACAGCAAAGACTAACAGCAACGACTAACAGCGAAGACTAACAGCAACGACTAACAGCAACGACTAACAGCGAAGACTAACAGCAACGACTAACAGCAACGACTAACAGCAACGACTAACAGCGAAGACTAACAGCAACGACTAACAGCAACGACTAACAGCAACAGCAACGACTAACAGCAACGACTAACAGCGAAGACTAACAGCAACGACTAACAGCAAAGACTAACAGCAACGACTAACAGCAACGACTAACAGCAACGACTAACAGCAACGACTAACAGCAAAGACTAACAGCAACGACTAACAGCAACGACTAACAGCAACGACTAACAGCGAAGACTAACAGCAACGACTAACAGCAACGACTAACAGCGAAGACTAACAGCAACGACTAACAGCAACGACTAACAGCAACGACTAACAGCAACGACTAACAGCAACAGCAACGACTAACAGCAACAACTAACAGCAACGACTAACAGCGAAGACTAACAGCAACGACTAACAGCAACGACTAACAGCAAAGACTAACAGCAACGACTAACAGCAACGACTAACAGCAACGACTAACAGCGAAGACTAACAGCAACGACTAACAGCAACGACTAACAGCAACGACTAACAGCAACGACTAACAGCGAAGACTAACAGCGACGACTAACAGCAACGACAGCAACGACTAACAGCGACGACTAACAGCAACGACTAACAGCAACAGCAACGACTAACAGCAACGACTAACAGCAACGACTAACAGCAACAGCAACGACTAACAGCGACGACTAACAGCGACGACTAACAGCGACGACTAACAGCGACGACTAACAGCGACGACTAACAGCGACAGCGACGACTAACAGCGACGACTAACAGCGACGACTAACAGCGACGACTAACAGCAACGACTAACAGCAACGACTAACAGCAACGACTAACAGCGAGAAATAAGACTGACAACATGTGAGAGCGAGAGACTGAGGAAGAGGAAGAGAGACAGAAGAAGAGGAAGTGTAAAGAGATGAAGAAAACTCCTCAGTACCGCACCTTTCTGCAGACTCATGTCTACCATGCGAGGCTCGGCCAGCTCCAGGAAGAAGTTCTTGTTTTTCTCATACTCCTCATCGTCAATAATTTTCACGTGAACAAGTTTGCTGCAAGAAAAGGAAGAGGAAGAGGAAGAGGAGGGACAGAGAGGGGGGAAGAGAGAAGAAGAAGAGAAAGGTTAATTTGTGATGGAGGGACACAGGAAGTGCTCTGTAAGTAGGATTAATTAACAGCGAAAGGGAAATGTTAGGAGGTGAAAGGTTGCTTTTTTTATTCATCTTCAAATCTTCTAGTTTCTGTAGCTGTAATGCAACGGTACATTTAAACATTCCAACAGTAGAAATGAACAGTATTGTACGTTGGCCGATAAAACGGCCCAATAGTGCTTTTTCTAAAGTTTGCTAATCTCTCTTTTAAGCAAGCTAACGTTTATGCAACTTTCGCTAAGCATTGTCTGTTTTCACAAGTGTCAATTATCAAATTAATCATTTCACATAACACAATATCCATCTAAAGTTTGCTAACATTAGCCACCAGATGCTAACGGTAACACACAGGATCCCTGACATTCATCACAGCGTCTAATAAAGTGGAAACAGAGGGCGAGAGAAAGTGCACAGCAGAGAGGATACAAGAGCAGAATGAAGTGAAAGCAGCCTGTCATCAATCAGCCTGTAAAACGTGGAAAGGGACGTTTCACAAGGGCAACAAAGGTGAATGCACGCGATAAATGAAAGAAACTGTCGCCGTCCAAATCGATTTTTATGGTTTCAGTCACTGAGACGCCCCGCCTGCAGGCAAGAGAGGAGCAGATAACTGGGGAGTTTATGGCTGAGGTTTGAGGGGAACGATCCTGTAATGAAGTGAAGCGTCTGCAGGGTGAAGCTGTTTCTCTGGCTTCACCTCGCTGTAATGCCTCCGATCGTCTAATTGATCTTTTTAAAGAGTTATTGAGCGGCGCAGCAGATAAACGGTCAGAGAGTGGGAACTCCTCTGAGGAAAGCTTTGTTGGATTCAGCTGGACTTGTGCAACCCACAGTAATGTCGGGCCTATTAATGGACAATGACATGTTTATGCATCGTGGAAAACACAAAAGAGCAGGGGGACCAGGCGAGGTAAACAAAAGAAAAAAATAATAAGTCAGATTGAAGAACAACAACCCGGAGAGAGCACGAGGAACAAAGGCAGCACTACGAGGAATCAGGGACTCTAGCTTAAAGTGGACCTATCATGCTATATTTGAATAATATATTGTAGGGCCATACCTATATACGGTATATTTATACGTTTTCTTTTTCAAAATACCAAACAGATTATGCATTTTAGCCATGCCTCATTTCGCTCTATTTTGCTCTCCTCCACCCTTGAGTTACGAGCGTCGTGTTACCATGCTGTTACCATGCCACGGCAACCTCTCATTCCCCTGATAGGTCAGCTCCTCCGTCCTGACGTCAGGACAGTGTTCAAATCTGGATCAGTTTTTATCAGATCCGTTGCAGCCCCTTTTTTAGAGGTTTGGGTATGGAGGAAAATAGAGAGGGTTGTGTTTTCTGACACTTGGTGAGTTCCCTGGAACACCGGGGACACATATTCATGTATAAAAGACGTACAAAAGTGCATTTTGCATGATAGGTCCCCTTTAAAGAATTACATTATTATTTTGTAATATGTTTACGTGCAAGAACAACTATGATATTTAGTAGTTAAAGCTTTAATATAACGAGTAAAGCTAGCACAGGAACATCTTAGGAGTCATAAACGTGAGACACATCATATTGTTGTAAAGTCAACATGTATATTTTCTACTTCTAGTCTTTACATTTTTCTTGTACAATGCCATGTCTTTTTATGCTGCTGCAACACAAACATTTTCCAAATTAGGATCAATAAAGTACTTCTTATCTTATCTTATCTTATATTAGACCTAGCCGACAGTATGCAGTGTTGTGCTTGTGTTTCTGTCCAGGTGAGCAAAACTAGTGGAAATATTTTGACACAGATGTGTAATGAACAGATGTAACAGACCTGCACATTTGAGTATTTTCACCATTACAAGACTGTCATGTGAAGCAATACGTCACATGTTAGCTCATATTGACTAATATGAGTTTTGTATTTGTATTTGTATTTGATAATCATCAGTTTGTTTCACGGGTTACAGAGACCCTATTCTGTTTTTGGTGTTTTCCCCTCTCCTGTGTGTTCGTTACAGTAGGTTTCTGCAAAACCCTACAATCCCTGTGTTAGTTGGTTAGCATAGCTTAGCATAAAGACTGGAAACAGGTGAAAACAGTTAGCCTGGCTGTTTCTAAGAAAGAAATAATTGTCATCCTCATGCAAAGGAAAACATGTAGCATGAAATTCTCTTGTTTCCCTATTTGTCTGCAGCTTAAACAAACATTTGAATTCCTCCAGAGACGCTCAGATTAAGAGTTTTTTATAAAGAGTGTGTGCTGTGTGAGTGTGTACGAATATCGGTGTGTGAGTGTGTGTGTGTGTGTGTGTGTCTGTCTGTCTGTCTGTGTGTGTGTGTGTGTGTATGTGTGTGTGTGTGTGTGTGTGTGTGTGTGTGTGTGTGTATGAATATCTCTGTGTGTGTGTGTGCGTGCGTGCGTGCGTGTGTGTGTGTGTGTGTTTGTGTGTTGTGTGTGTGTGTGTGTGTGTGTGTGTGTGTGTGTGTGTGTGTGTGTGTGTGTGTGTGTGTGTGTGTGTGTGTGTGTGTGTGTGTGTGTGTGTGTGAGAGAGGCAGTGCTTTGACTGACACCAGCCTCTCTTTATGTCACGGCGCTGGGACTACATCAGCGGGACGTCAGGGAAACATGAGCAGCGATCCATAATGAATGCTGCGCTGCCACTTTATTTGCAGAACTCCTGAAATACCGTCCCTAAATAACATGCGTGGAAATTGCATTTTTGCTCGGATGAAGAGGGGGGAAAGCGGCATTCCCCATGAGATGTCAGACACATAATAAAGTATGTAATCCGTATTTCAGGGCTAGCTGCGCCGCTGTCAGCTTCTGTTAGCCTGTCTGCTGCTGGCAGGGAATGTTTCTGAGCCTGGAGAGAGGAGGAGGAGCGGGTGTTGTGACATGTTCTCAGCATTTGTTGTGTTGCACACTTGGTCATAAAAGGGACTTCTAGGCATGCATAAGTTTAAAAATAAATTCATTTTACTTTGTGCATAATACAGAAACACAAGCACATCATGCTGCATACTTGTGGCTAGGTCAAATGAATGATGCCTCTTAAAACATTAATGAGCACTTGTATTAAACTTAAATGTCAAACTTCCAATTAAAAAGGACATATGGTGATGTTCATATCAGTATGTAGTGTCTCTACTTTAAAGAGTTCTCTCCTGCTGATGTTCAGGTGTATATCAGTATGTAGTGTCTCTACTTTAAAGAGTCCTCTCCTGCTGATGTTCAGGTGTATATCAGTATGTAGTGTCTCTACTTTAAAGAGTCCTCTCCTGCTGATGTTCAGGTGTATATCAGTATGTAGTGTCTCTACTTTAAAGAGTCCTCTCCTGCTGATGTTCAGGTGTATATCAGTATGTAGTGTCTCTACTTTAAAGAGTCCTCTCCTGCTGATGTTCAGGTGTATATCAGTATGTAGTGTCTCTACTTTAAAGAGTCCTCTCCTGCTGATGTTCAGGTGTATATCAGTATGTAGTGTCTCTACTTTAAAGAGTTCTCTCCTGCTGATGTTCAGGTGTATATCAGTATTTAGTGTAACAATGAATTAGTAATTCTATTGGAATACATGTTTAAAGTAACCCTCCTAACCCTGTGTATACATATTAATATACAATCCAAGCATCTCTAGAGGAATTAAAATGCTATTACTCATGTAATGCATGGTTAAATCTCTTTCTATAGCCGTGTAAATGTGATTTGCCGAGGGGGGAGTGTACTATCTGAGATCCTGTTAGCACACCAGCAGAACAATCCCTCTCTCTTTACATCCCGGCGGCAGGGCTTTCCTCAGATCGCTGTGAGAGATGTCTGCAGAGCTTCTGCTGCAAGAGCCTGCTTTTCCCAGGAGTGAAGGGAAGAGGAAGCGCTGGAGTTTAATGGACAGGTGGGATCACGCAGCGCTTCCTCCTGACATGCATGTGAACTATGCACGCAGAAACCACAACTGCAGCCTCACGATTACTGCAGCAACATGCAAAAATAAAAACAACCATGCACTTAACCACATTAAGCTGTGAGGGGGAACATATCTGCTCCTTACAAGCAGCATTGCTTGGTTTATAATGCAGCAGTACACTAAGTTATTATAGTTAGAATATCTTTGAAAATAGACATTTTTGACGGCATTAAAATGCAGTTAGATCTGATTATGTGCCAAAGTTTGGCCCCTATATTTTAGGTTTCTTCACAGTTGAATAAAACAACTGATAACGGGCGTTTAATGGCCTGAAAACATTCAAAATTAGTTCCAATTACTGCCCGACACGTGTGGGGAACATCAAGCAACGTTTATCTGTGACAATCATCAATAATTCATCCATCCATCCCAACATCTGGCACCCGCCGCTGTGCGAGCTGCAGAAAGTCACTCGGAGTCCAGCAGCAGTGTGTGTGTGTGTGTGTGTGTGTGTGTGTGTGTGTGTGTGTGTGTGTGTGTGTGTGTGTGTGTGTGTGTGTGTGTGTGTGTGTGTGTGTGTGTGTGTGTGTGTGTGTGTGTGTGTGTGTGTGTGTGTGTGTGAGAAATGAGGGGTACTATCAAAAGCCTGCCGTGCACACAAACTCAAATCCCTGTGCAGGTGGCCAGGGCCCATGACAAGTTGAAGCTGTATGCAGCAGACATTTTGGGTATAATATCAATGCTCTGCACTAAAAATAAGTAAAAAGGGCGTTAATCTTCACACCAGAGCTCTCGTTTGATAAACTGTATTTCACTAATGTGTTAAGCTTCACGTGTTAATGACTTATTGACTCCAACATGATAAACATGGCACCCTTAAATTCAGTCTTAACGACAGCTGATTGGAGGCTTTACACCCCTGATCCGAGAGGGAGGAGGGGGGAGAGACATGGAAGAGGAGGAGGTGCAGGGAGTCAGAGATACATAGAGGCAGAGGCCATGTCAGGAACA